AGGGCCGGCGCTCCTCCTAAGCGCCGCGCGCCCGGGGCACGAGCAGCCAATTCGCGGCGCTCCCGGGGCTGGCACTTACCATGCACCCGGGCCGGCTCCGGCACAATGCATGCACTATGTGCCCAGGGCCGGGCCAGCCCTGAGCACTTGGTGGGCGCACACAAATGGCACCATGTTGGGGACCACTGTTCTAGGATATCCATGAGGGTTTGTTTTCTTAACCTCAGAAAAACATTTATTGTGTATAGTTACAAGTATCAGCATGACGATGGAAGAGTTTCCTATCCGTTGTGTTTTATCTTCTCCAGTCCAGTTGGTGAGTGAACACTGTGAATAATAGTGGTTATATCCTATAAATGTGGAAGTTCTTGTATCTAAGAAACAAAAAGGTCTAACACCGAAGATCAGTGGTTTTCACACATAAGACCAAATTCATCAGTATGTCCCCTCTGCGGCCTCTTTGTCAGAGTTGGCACAAAGTCACAGTAATGGCTCCCTGACAAACTTCTTGGAGGGGCACTTCAGGCAGGCACAGATCCAGTTGTATTCAACCTCCTCCAGCAGTGTCAAACATTCCTATGTCCTGCAGCCAGAACAGCTGGGGTTCACATTCGAGCATCTATACCAGGGACCAAGTGACCCTGAAGAAAGCTAGGAAGGGGGGAAAAATAGCTCAGCACTTCCTCTGTGTTACGAGTTTTGTTCGTATTCAGGGATGAGTCGGCCCCTTGATCAGTCTGCATGTTCTCAGTTTGTAATAGGGTGGCTTTCTGCAACTATTGAATTTAATTGTGATCCTTGAGAGAGAGTACATTTTACCTTTCGCTATGCTGCTTGCTAGAATAAGCAGGTAGGTGTAAGTTGAGCAATAAGTTCACATCATCTTCTGTGTCTTCAGTAGTTAATTTCTGTAACAAGTCATAAGCCATGCTTCTGTTGTTGTTAGAACGAGGAGTAACGGTAGTTCAGAATAGGAAGCCTAATCCGAACTACCTAGTCCGTGCCACGTGTAGCCGCACGGAGTCCGCACTAGCGGACATTTAAAAATGGTGGCGCCTGGCAATATGCAAATGAAGCCCGGGAAATTCAAATCTGGTTGCCTACATTACCACCCTAGTTCGAACTAGGGTGGTAGTGTAGACATACCCTAAGACTGTGTTTCTAGAAGTTCTGCTCTATTTTCAGTGTCTGATGAAAACTTCTACAATTGATCAGGACATAGACGACGGCTTGCTAAATGAAATAAAGCTAGCAATAATTTTTTTTGTTCAGTCATTTTTTTGTCTTACCCTGAAAGTTATTGTACGAGATTAATGGCTAGACAGAAAAGCATTACTTGCCTAAGTCTGCATTTGTGGCTTAGGAAGAAATGGAAATCTTTTAGAAACAGCAGCAAAGATAACTTGCTTTCTGGTAGATGAACACTTGTAGAGTAAGGTAGCAAGAACTGGTTGTGAGTTTACCCTCTCCTTTGCTGGCTGTGCAGTTAAAATTCGGGATAACTATCATGTTTTGTTGTGTCTTGCTGTTGAGTATTGTTTTAAGCAGAGCTATAAGCAGAGCTTGATGTGGCTGCCTATCCAGCCCCCTGCACACTGGTGTAGACTTGCCAATATTAAACATCAAAGCAAAACTAAAGATCCTGTGTACAAACGAACAATTGCATCAGTCTGCTGATTGGAAACTTCCTACATACAAGCTGGCTTTATTTATTTTAATTTTTTTTAAATCTTGTTAATGGATTGCAGTCCAACTGTCAAACACAGCTTTGCTTTCCTTCCCACAACTACAGGATGCAAGCCTGAACAACAGATGATGTATGCTGGGAGCAAGAATAAGCTTGTACAGACAGCTGAACTCACTAAGGTATAATTTAATATCTAGCTGATGAGTTGCAAGAAAGTCATGTACACATAAGATGCTGGTCTGTCAGTTATTTAACACAGCAGCATCATTGTTTTCTTGCATGTTTTAAATTGCATTCAACAGTGGTCTGTCTTGCAGAAAGCCTAAAAAGAGAGAGAGAGGGATAAGCATGGAGATTTATGGGTTCTTTAGAGGATAAGGAGAGACAAATTAATTAGTATTAAAAATACCCTCCAACAGGTAGGGACCCTTTACCTATCACTCCACAAACACTGGCAAGTCAGGAGCATGAAAATGCCATCCTATTTACAAGTAAGATACTCTAGAACCGTGGTCACCAACTGGTCAATCGCGAGGCCTCGACCAGTCGATTGGGAAGCGTCCTGTCCGCCCTGCTCCCCATTTCCCTCCCACCCCTGAGAAGCCCCACTACCTACCTCAAGTGAAAATGGAGGTAGTGTCGGCTTCCCAGGGAGGGACAGAAGTCCTGCAGCTTAGTGCCACTTCCAGCGATTCCGGAAGTAGCTCTAGCTGCTCTGCCAGGTGTACTGTGGGAGGGAGCATCGGCTCCCTCCACCACACAGGAGGGGTGAGTCAGCCCCGGGGGAGGCATGTGAGCGGGGTGGTGGGGTGTGGGGCTTCCCTGCGCCGGGGTGGGGGGTGGCCCTGGGGCAGGCGCACGCGGGGTTTCCCTGCGCCCGGGGTGGGGGGTGTGGCCCAGGGACAGGCGCGCAAGCGCGGGGCATCCCAGTGCCAGGGGAGGCGGTCGGCAGCCGGGGGAGGGGCGCGCGCGCAGGGGGCATCCCTGCGCCAGGAGGCTGGCCCTGGGGCAGGCATGCACGCGGGGCAGGACTTCCCTGCGCTGCGGGGGGGGTCAGCCCCGGGGCAGGCACGCACTGGTTTCCCGGGGGGGGGGGGGAATCCTGGGAGGAGGCAGATACAGGGGACTCTGCCTCCACTGGCACCCCACTCTCCAAGTAAGGGCTGGGGTTAGCAAGTGATGGACAGGAGGAGAATAGAGAGGGCGGGGCTTCAAGGAAGGGGTGGGGCGGTAGATCTTCACCTGTTTGGAGATTTAAAAAGTGATCTTGGGTGTAAAAAGGTTGGAGACCACTGGTCTAGAATAAGATGAAGCCTATGGTATGATTGCAATCTAGAGCTGATGCGTACTGGTTGGGCTGTCTCTCCTTTGTAGATGTAGTACTGTAGCTGTCAGTGCTCTATCTGGAACAAATGAGAAGGGAGACCTACTGATTGGCTAGACACAAGTGTTTCCTGTATTATAATAGGTGGAACAATGTGAATATTGCCTGTTGGCGCTCTTGATCAGCAGATCTCAGTCCTTCATGCTATATATTCTCATAATATCCCTGTGAGGTAGAAAAGCATTATTTTCCCCAGAAGGACTAAGTGACTTGACAGAGGTTACACAAAGTGGAGCAGGGAATTGAACCTGGGTTTTTTAATATCCCTGCCCTAAGCACCAAACTAGTCTAGATTCTAGGAGCCTACTTAAAATGGCATTTAAACAGTAATAGCTAACCCTAAAACTTAGACTAGCTGATCTGATAAGTCTTTGCCATCTCCTGCCAGTACAGGATTCTTTATTGTACAGTTATTCATCTCTTGTCCAGTTTAGTTCTAAATGTCAATTAATAGGATGTCTGTTGACTTTTCTTGGGAGAAACTGTTCCAAATGCTAATTTCAGATTTTTTTCATGCCTAATTTTGCTTTCTGATTCATCCCATTAGTTATGTACCTGTTTGTCATGCTCTTAAGCCAGCTACCCCTGAGCATCAGCTCCCACCCCCCTCCTGCGTTGCTGCCTCTGTGGGAGGCAGCAGGAGGGGGCCGGCAGCTCCAGAAGCTGGCATATGCAGGGAGCCGGCTTAAAAGTTGGTTCCCTCCGGGCACTGGTTCCCACCTTTCTCTCCCTTCCTCCCCCTTTCTGTACATACACATACAGAAACAGCAAGGCTGTGTATGCATGTAACTATTAACTGATAAGATTACGCCCAGGTTTATCAGTTAATCGCTTAAATGAGTACACACTAACCTCCCTTAGTATCTAGGTGCCAAGTGTCTACTATTAATAATTTTTTTTAAAGATTTTAACACCTTTCACATTCTTAGATTAAAAATCGAAGGGACCATTGCAGGCATCTAATCTTGATTTGCTGTATGGGCCATTGACCTTCACCTAGGAATTCTGGTAGTGAGCCCTGTAATTCATGGTTGAACTAGGATGGTTTTAATAGAAATACATTGCCTTGATTTAAAGCTTTCGGATGGAGTGGAAGAACTCCATCCCTGGGTAAACGGTTGCAGTGGCTAATTACCCTCCGTGAAAGAAGTGCCTCCTTTTCCATTTTGATTTTTCTACAAGCACCTTCTTCCCATTTGTGTTTATCCCTTTCTCTGTTAGATTAAAGCCCTGTAGTATTAGATGTACATAGGTACTTGCAGATCATGATCAAGTCACCTCCTTCTGCCTTTTGATAAGGGAGAAATTGAGCTCTTTAAGCCTTTCGTTATAAAGGCTTTCTACCAGATGCCCAACCCTAGCTTGCAGCTCTTCTTTGAATATTTTGCAGTTCTTCAAACACTTCTTGTAAGTGGAGACCCGTAGAGCTAGCTATAGAATTCTGTTACTGGTCTGTCAGTGTTCCATACCTATCTTCCCTCTCACGGTTCCCTGTATACAAATAAGGATTGCATTAGCCTTTTAGCTACAGCATTGTACTGGCTTGCTCACTTGGTTGTTGACCATGTATCCAAAGTCTTGTCTTAGCCACTGCTTTTGGTATCTGTTAAAGGGCGTGCCTGCCTTGTACTCCCTTCTGGCCAGGGGCTGGCTCTTTTGCACCCTGCCTCAGTTTCTCTCTCTCATGGGCTCCTTAAATTCCACTTAGGCTTTTCTTTTCCCTTAATACTCTGGTTTATTGTCCTAAACTATTCCACTCAAAATAGACTTCAGAATTGAAATTTCATCCTTTCCCAGCTCTGTGTGGCTGGAGTTATTTTATTCCCCTAGTGTAGAGGTGGGCAAAGGGGCCCCCCTGGGCTGGATCTGGCCTGCCAAGCCAGTGGATCCAGACTGTGACCACCCTGCCGATTCCGTATCACCATGCCAATCAAGACCTGGAGACAGGGGAGCGCACACAGTCTCTCCCCCACCAAGGGTATGCAGCAGCTAGAGAGAACCACAGGCTGCGCACCCCTGGCCAGGGTAGGGTCAGAGGACGAGAGACTTTGCGTGCTCTCCCCAGCCCCGATTGGCCTCAGGGTGTGGGGGAATGCTCAAGGTCTCCTCCCGCTGTGGCACCTAGAGGGAACTACCAGTTGTTTTAAAACAGCTGGTGATCTCTAGGTGCTGGGGGCACAGGACAATACTTTATGCTCTCTCCCATCCCCAGGTCAATCAGGGTCTGTGGGCAGGGGAGCACTAGAAGTCACCTGGCCCTGTGCCTTCTGCCAAAGGCCCTGCCCCTTCCAGGGCAGCCTGGGGCCACTTCAGAAATTTGCGAAGTGACCCCCTTTTAAAAACTATTGCCCACCCCTGCCCTAGTGTTCCCCTTTGCTTCAGGCCCTGACTCTTCTCCTCAAAGCTGGAGTTGTAATTCAGACCAGCTGTAGCACTTCAGCTTCCTCTCAAGTTTGCCCTTTCTGCAATATGTCATTTCACCTTCAGGCCAGAATGTTCACAACCAGATTGGCTGGGACAATACTTGTCTCCTCCAGCAATTCTGTAAGGCTCCTGGTGCCAGATTTTTTAACGCAGACTACTGTTCCCTTTTTTTTCTTTCTTTCTCCAAGCCCAAACTCTTCTCTGTCTGTCTTAGTTCTTCTTCGTCTCTGAAATGTCCCAGGACCCCACCCCACACTTATACTGTGGTTTTAAATTGCTGCTTCAGATTTAGATTTTAAATGTGCTTTATTCATACCTCTCGCTGCAACTTGATTTCATTTTGACTCATGTGAGGGCTTTCTCCTGATTTGAATCTTGCTTGAATTAATCCTCTTTTTGGTAGCTTGGTAGATTAACCTCCTTTCTTTTATGCCAGTCAGTGCTATCATATTGATCTTTTCCCCCCGTTCTTTACTTGACAATCCAACGGTCAGCAAACTGCATGAATAACAGATCGAACATGAGCATCAGTGTCTGCAGGCTGGGCCTGAAAGGATAGAAAGTAGGAAAAAGATTATGCATAAGTGGATATAAACAAAGGGATACCAGTCTCTAATTTAAAAAAAAAAAAAAAAAAAGAAAAAAAAGAAACCCTTGGAGGGGGAAAAAAAACTTGGGGAATCCTAAGAAAAAGGTAGAATGGATGGGGAGGAGTAAACAGTCAATTCATGCCAGTAACGAGTAAATTTATTAGGGTTTTTATATATTGTTACCCTTTTCCTCTCAGACCTAATATTGGCACTACAGTACTCAGCGCTGTGTGTGTACAGACATATATGTATAGTGGTAGAAAATGTGAAATTAGAATTCAGATTAATCTTAATAGTACGGGCACAATATTTTGCAGTCTTCAATGAGTATATGCTGTGTCTTCTCTTTGCTAGTAATTCTAACCTGATTTTCCACAACTTCAGTTTTTATCGTGATTGTTAGATAAAATAATGTTCTGAAGGCTCTGGGCACATGTAATTGATACAAGATTTATACTGACTTTCCTAAAAAGATGGTAGCTCATTTGAGTGGTGCTGAAATGGAGTAGTGTAAAATTTGTTTTATTTTGTGCATCCAAATCAGGAGTTGCTTTCCTGCTAGGTGCATACTGGGCAGGAAATGGTACGCTCGTTTCTGTTATCTCATTTGCTGTATGAAAGCCTTTCTAAAGATTCTTCTGTGGCTCTTAAGACTTGTATGCATTTAATGCTTGCGTATACCAATGAATACTGACAGGATACCTTCATCAGATGAGCAAAATATTATGGTGTTTTGAGAGTTCTGACTTTTTCACAAGTTGTTAATCTTGGGTGGAAAAAATCCAAAGGCTTCATAATTAATTCAGCCCTGAACATGGTTGTTGTGTTACAAACAGGAAGCCTCTTCATACACGACAGTAATGTGTAGCATCCCTGAGCTCTGGCTGACAATGCCACTTCAGAGTCACTTATAACACAAGCAAACAATAGTTAATCTAGCACATATAATGTAGAATCCTAAAAAGTACAAATCAAGGTGGCAAGTCCCAGAAACAGTAATTCCTGGCTTTCTGTAACTTGGCCATATTGTAACAAAATGCAGGACAATGTAGCACTTTAAAGACTAACAAGATGGTTTATTAGATGATGAGCTTTCGTGGGCCAGACCCACTTCCTCAGATCAAATAGTGGAAGAAAATAGTCACAACCATATATACCAAAGAATACAATTAAAAAAAATGAACACATATGAAAAGGACAAATCACATTTCAGAACAGAAGGAGGATGCAGGGGTGGGGAGAGTGGGATGTCTGTGAGCTAAGGTATCAATATTGTAACATGTATTTCTATTAGGCTCTCCTGTCTTATTCTAGATTATTAACCTGTTCTTGCAAAACCGTGCATGAAACAGAAATGCTTACATGCTTCCTAGTCTGTTGTGACCGCTTTCTAAAAAGTACCCTAATGCATTTTATCAGTAGAAGTGTGGTATAATATTTAATCTGCTACAATTTTTGTTTAGGTATTTGAAATAAGAAACACAGAAGACCTAACTGAAGAATGGCTGCATGAGAAACTGGGCTACTTTCATTAAGTGAACCTCTGTATTGAATATTTATATGCCATCCTGACAATACTGGAACCAGTCATGAATACGTATGCCTAAAAATGCACTGTATTTACAGCAGTTTCCTGTAGTGTAGTATAGTTCTTGTACAAAGTTTGGGCAAGGAGAGGAAAATTAGTCTCCTTGAAGTAAAACTTTGCCAAGTGTTTCCTTGTGTATAACTATGAAAAGGAATACTTCTCTGCAGGGATTCTCTTTTTTTTCTTTTTTTTGCACTCTTGTGACTAATATTTCTGTAATCGCATACTACAGTTCAGAAACTGTTAACTACTTACAGACTTCATTTGGAAGCTGACACTAACTTTCCAGAGCTGCAAATGCATCCTTTTGACAAATACTGTATAATAGCAGTTTGTGTTAAAATAGCATATTGTCACTTGTTAAATTTGAGAATTTTTTTTACTTTTTAATGGCTCTTGAATTTCCCAAATTAAAGTCTGTGGAAGTGTTGATATTAAATGGAAACTAAGTATTTATATGACAAAATAACTTAACCCGAAGAAAATTCTTTTTAGAACTTTTCAGGACTGATACCTTAATTGTAATAAGTATCTAAGTTGATTGAGAGTCCATCTTGCAGGGTATAGTTCCATGAGAACTAGCCAGTCATACAATAGACTTATAGAAACTAATTTAACTCTTAAGGGCTTAATTACAATATTGATTACATGCATCTGGATTTTTACATGCAAGATTTTATATTGGATAATTATAAATTAACCTGTTATACAAACACCTGTTAATACTGCGTGCCTTTAATTTGTTAGCTTTAAAAGGACTAAAAATTTTACACTGCTATTTGTTGCAAATTTGGTGAAAACTAGCCTTTTGTTAAATTGTCTAAGTAACATGTTTTCTAATGCCTAGTGGTACAATTAAGCATTTGTAAAATAAAACACATCTTGACTTAAAATGCCAGCTATCTGCTCCCATCAGTAAAGACCTGGGAGTGCAGGAGTTCAAAGCTCTTAACATCTTGAATGACTTAGAGTAGTCTGATGGGTTTTTTTTTCTTTTTGTTTGTTGAGAAACCTTAGCCATATATAGACCTTGTATCTTTTTTTGATGAAAGAAGGTCTCCTAGCTTAATTGTCAGTCAAAACTACATTCCAATTAAATCTGCACATGAGTAACCTCATTCAGTCTTTGAGCTTCATCTTTTTGGTAAAACAGCAAAAATTCAAATATGAAAATTGTACTTTTTTATAATCTATCTTAAAAACTAACATTTTTAAAGGTTCTGCTTTTATATAAAAGTAGAATAGTAGTTCTGAGTTGGGATATCCTCTTTAGCCTATGCAGTGGCAAACAGGTACTCCTGTGACAGCATCTCTGTTATGACTCGCATGAGTGTTTGTCATGCTACCGAATAAGTGACTTTTCAAGAGCAGCTTCCAGTCATGAACAGCCGTATCTTACAGTATAGATGCTCTAATGTGTATGTTTTTGGTGAAGAGGAGTGAATGAATCTGTTAAATTGGGAGGCCATTATTTCATTCTGTAAAACCTTTGCTGGAAGAATTCATGTGTTTGCCACACACATGCTGCGTAAGAGTATTAAACATGAATATGTTTAAGACCACCCCATGATCCAGACAGTTCTCTTCAGTGGCAGCGATTCATGTTTAGATTGGCTTATTGATTGATTTATTCCTCCTTCAGACACAAATCACTCAGACATAAGGGAGCTTTTCTGTGTCTGCAGCTTGTGATGTGATTGAAAGATCATTAGTTCAGTGTTGGCAAAATGACTTTAACTGGAGGAAATAAGATCCTTATGTTGATATATCGAACTGGAACAACATTATTTCCTCATTTCCCTGGACAGAACACATATTGATTGTATGTCTTTGTCTGTCTTATGTGCTACAGATCAATAGAAGCAATTGCTTTAGTGGCAGACTTGTATAAATAAGGCGTTAGTCTTTAAATTGACATGGCTTTCAAAAGCAGTTTAAAAAATCAGACTTGAAGTTCTTGCTTCATGTATTGCATGAACTGTGAGCCATTGATGTCAATATCCAGTAGAGCAGAAAGAAGCTGCCCCTTGTGCGTGGGCCTATGACAGTCTATAAAATTCAGGCTAGCTTGCTGTGGGAAAACTGGATTTGTAGCCCTCCGAACCAAGCCAGTGTTTTTTGTACGTATTGGTCTGGCAGGAATCACTTTACTACTTGCACAGGGAAGAATGCTCATAAAAGGGGGAACTTGCCCCACCAAGAAAAGTGATCATAAGGTTTTTTGAGATGAAAATAAGGGATTTTCTACAGTAAACCTATAACTGTACTTACGATTTAAGTGATTCTGAGAGTCACCTGTAGTTTCACCAATTCTCTGCATGTTGTCTCCTCCTGCCTTCCCTATACCAAGAGCACTTTCTCCTCTTCAGTTCTTTTCAGTCCCTTCTTCAGCACTTCCCCCTACTGCAGATCAAGGCAGAAAGAATGTCTATCTTCTAATGTCCCTCTACTGCACCTTCTATCCCATAGTCTTCCCTCTTGTACTGCTCCTCACACCTCCTTTGCCTACTTCCCAGGCATGTGGACTTGACCGCTCTGAAGATCTGATGTGAGGATTAGGGCCCACACACGCAACAGATTCCTAAAAGCCATGGTGGGCCAGGCCTCAGTGTTGCTCTGTATATTTGTAGGGGTCAGGCATTGTCTTTGTCCTTTATTTTTCTCAGATCTGCAGTGAAAGGCTAGGGAGGAAAGTAACTGCAGTTACTAGGAGACAGAGTCTTTGCAGACAACAGCTGCTGTTGTAGGGCTAGTCTGTCTTGACAGATACAATATGTACTGTACAGTCTCCAGCTGCTCACTGTCCCAGTTTTCAGGGTCCCAGGCCTGACTCTGAGAGTGGATAGTGTGCACAACTATAGTAACTACAAAGGCATAACTAGCCCTGTTCAATTATATCCTGTGGACATGAGATTTGCTGTCATATCACTAACCACCCAATCTTGTTAGAAATGCCTCATTCCAGTCACCCACTCAGCCTGTATATTCAAACTTCTTATTGTTAGTTTAATTTAAGCCTGACCAGTGTAACCAAATTCCTCTCATCTGCCAGTGTTTCGGAGATCTTGAAAGAGGACAAAACATTGGGCAGAGGAGTGCTTTAATTGTAATGACACTTCTTCACCTTTGCAACTAGTCAGCCAGCATTTTCTATTAGAAACATTTTTCAGGAGTACGTAACTCAGCCATAAAACGTTCCCTGGCTAGAAACTTTATTAAGAGGTCATGACACTACCTTAGAGGTCTCCAACAGGTGGAGGTTTTCTGCCATGCTTTAATTTGGTGGTTGTACATTTTACAGAGGTATATATGGCAGGGTGGGGGAATAGCTCTTATAACCCCAGATGTGAAGAAAAGCCAAATTGACTAAAGCATGAGAGTTCTGGCATGTTTTCACTTTGTAAAATGGACTGATGCAATTGGAAATGTTTGTGAAAAAACTTAAACACAACATTTGGTGGTTTAAAAGTAGTTCTAGTACTAGGTATGCCTCCCTTGATAAACCAGAATGTCAGTAATGCTGGGACCTACACCTTTCAATGTATTGTGTAAAGGTGCCTTGAACATTTCCACTGAGCTCACACTTCTGTGTCTTCAGCTAGACAATAATGTTAAGGGTCTAAGATCAATGTGCAAAAGGAAACTCTGATTTTAAAAAATTCATTCCATGATTGCTCAGCTGTGCTTTGTGATGTAAGCACGTCTCAAAATATTCCCCTCTAACTGCACTAGTAGTTGTAATGGCATGGGAATAATGGCTTCCGTGGAAAGCCACTTTCTTTGTTTATTATGTTGGGCCAGGCGTATGATATTACCTGTATGTGTATTGATTGTGTATGCCAAGGCAAGCTGCCAATGCCGTAGATGGGGAAAGACATTTAGGAGATTTGAAATGTTGATGGAATTGTTAGATTGGTAATATTGACCATGTAACAGTTTGTTTCAATAACTGGCACAATTTCCATATGGTATTTAGTCTTGGCTAGTTCATTCTGCATGTTTATTTTTAAACCAAAACTTTTGCTAAGCATGGTGCTTGTACTGGTTGAAATAAAATTGTGGATCCACAAATCCCTGTTCTGTTTCTTGTTTTTGCTACTTACCAAATGCTGGGCAAGGTCTAAACACATGGCCCACTTGCAAACTCCCCACACCAGGCCTCTGTTCTGCTGCTTGAGGGTGAGTGGGGACTGAGAGCAGGCCATCTGTGGAGAAAAGGAGCTAGTGGACCTGGTGGGTTGGAGTACTAGTGCCGTGACACAATTCTTTCCTCCTCCATATGTGGGATCAAGGGTGACTGGGGAAGATGCTGCCTCTTAACCTGTGAGACTATCATCCATAAAATAGGCCTTGCCTTGTTGTCCCTATCTCAGCTGGAGGAAGCATCCCTTAACTAACTTTCTCAGCTGGAGGAAGCAAAAGGAGTTTCTGCATTGTCTTGCTCCTTCGGTTGCTGGAAGAAATGAGCAGATAGAATGGTAGCAGTCTTCATACCTGTGCAATGGAAGTATCAGATTAGAGTGTGGGATTTCAGGGCTTTACACCCTCTTCTGAAGGAACTGCTACCATGCACAGGGTCAGTCAAGTTCCCCACATCTGCCTCTGCTCCTGGCTACATTATTCAGAGGAAGCAATACTATCGCTAACTTTTGCACACATACTACAGCTTCAGTTGGTAGAAGTATACTCCCCAGGGAATTCTGTGCCAAAACATGGAAACGTTCTGTACGTAAGTCTTTTTAAAATTCTGCACATTTTTTATTTGTCAAACGTGGAGGCTCCAGCACGGCAGTGGGGAGTGCAGCCAGTGGCCTGTGCTCCCCCAAGATGGGAGATTACTCCTGCAGCTTCTTCACGCACACCCTTCCCTGAGGACATGGCTTAGCAGTGAGACTGCACCCAATCCTAACACAGCCCAAAGACCAAGCCTGCCCCAGAAACACCTCAGGGCTCTGCCCCTCTGTGCCAGGAACTTCACACCTGAGCTTGGAAGGAGCCAAGTGTGGAGGGGCTTAGTGGGTGGGATCCAGGCACGGCTTGAGAGGATTCTGCATAGGGTCATATGGGTGTGGGTGGAAATCTGGATGCACAGGGTGAATAACGTGTACAGGTGTGGTTGCCTCATCTCAAGATATCTTGGCATGGAAAAGGTTCAGAAAAGGGCAGCAAAAATGTTTAGGGGTTTGGAACGGGGCTCATAGGAAAAGAGATGAAAAAGACTAGGACTTTTCAGCTTAGAAAAGAGGAGACTGGGGAGGGGGGTATAAGATAGAGGTCTATACCAGCATTTCCCAAACTATGGGCTGTGGCCCGGTACCGGGCTGTGGGGGAAAAAAATACCGGGCCTCAGCATGGCGTGGCTGCCGGCAGCGCTGGCCTTAGGCCGATTTGGGCCCCACACCTCTGAACCCGGAGGTGCCGGCGAGTTACAGAGCCAGGGGCCCTGCTCCACCAATATGTGGAGCTGTGTCTCTCCCCCAGCTCTGCCTGGAGTAGCCCAGGCGTCCTCCCACCCTACCCCCAGAGCATCCCCTCGCGCGCGGCTCCTCCTCACTGCCTGCTGCTGCCCATGTGTGGTGTTGCACGTGGGCGGGGAAGATGCCCGGGTGTGATGGCCCGGGATTTTAAAACTCTTCGGGGGCACGTGGCTGGGCCACGCTGCCTCTGGGGCCAGCCTCTGGGGCCTGAGTGCTACCTCTGGCCCCGCAATGTGGCAGGCAGAAGGGAAGGGAAGGGCTTGGGTGGAGGCGGCAGCGGAAGGGGAAGGCACCAAGGGACAGGGTGCAGGAGAGAGATAAATGCCAGGAGGCCAAGTGCAGACCATGAGGGAAAGGGCAGGAGGGGAGGTGTCAGTGGGAGGAGGGACAGGGTGATGCTGGGAGAGGAGAGGGGAAGGGCATTGGGGGCTGGAAGAGGAGGTTCTGGGAGACGGCTTGAAAGAAGGAGTGGGCATGAGGAAGGCCAGGACGGAGTAAGGCATCTGTGAGGGCATAGAGGGGCAGGAGGGGAATGGGGCAGAGAGTGGTGAGGGGGTGCGTATTAGGGGAAAAAGAGGGCAAAGGGGGCAGGGGCAGTAAGGGAAGGGGGAGGCACCAGGAGGGTGCAGGGCTAAGGAAAGGTGCAGGTGCCAGGGGATTCTGGGGTGAGGAGGAGGGGAGAGCTGGCCACTGGAAGCAGCACTGGACGGGGGAATTGGGGCAGGCTGGGGAGACTGGGGGGCTGGTGGAAGCAGGGCTGCCAGGGGGTGCGAGGTTGGGGGCAGAGAGCTGGCCGGGGAAGATTGGGGGGGGGAGAGAAGCGGCCACCGGAAGGAGGGGTGGAGGC